CACTACACCACCACCGCCACCACCGCCAGCCATTGCTACTACTGCCCCTCCTCTTACTGCTACGAGAACTACTACCAGAGTACCATTTCTATTACTATTACCATTTACTACTACCAGTCCTACCCGTATTACTACGATTACCAGGTTGATTACCACTACTACTACTACTACTACTACTAAGTTATTCCTACTACTACTAGTACTACGACGATTACTAAGATACTAAGACTACTATTATTTCCACTGCTACTTTGCTGCTGCTTATTGTCAGTGTTACTGAGTTATTGCTGCTACCTCTGCTGCATTGGCTCTGATTCAGGTGATTGGGGAAAGCTTGCAGGAGGCCTTCTTCACGGATGGTATGACACAGTTGCTGCAGGAGCCTGACAAGAACAAGGAGCTCCTCCTTGAGCTCTTGACGAAGTTGCTGACGGAGCTCAACGACGTGGTGAAAGGCAGCGAGTTCAAGATGCTTCAGGATGGTTTGCAGGCAGCCATCAAGGCCGTGAAGCTTTGTGCCCATGCGTTCACTGCCCTCCTCCGCCCGCGCAACGGATATCTTGACAGTGATGCTTCGCATGTTGGCACCTTGCGTGGGTACAAAGGCCGGGATGGCATGCTTCAGACGTGCAACAAAATCCTGTGCAGACCGTATTGGCAGCAACAGTATGATCAGTATGACGACATGCTGAAGAAGAGCGCCACGTCCAAGATCGCCACCCCCTCCTTGCCAACATCCTGGAGATGGTTGACCCTGCAAAGTCCGATCAGAATGCTGCCAAATCTTTGGAGGTCTGCGTGAAGCACCTGCCAGAGCTGCGGCAGAACTTGCGCACGGGCGCAACTCAGGGTCTGGAGAACAGGATGCTGGAGATTGCCAATGAGAGTTTGAAGGAGGTCCTGACCTCGGAAGGCTCTGGACAACGGCCAACTTGGGTCAACACGTTGAAGAGTGCTCTTCAAATGGTTGGCAAGGCCGATGACGTGAAGCAGTTGCAGGAGTGGTGCACCGAGCATGCCCACACACAGGCATGGAAAGGTGTTGCGGAGCAGGCTTCCATCATTGCTGTGGGCGAGATTTCCAAGGTGGACTTGAAGGGGCTGGGCAAAGTCTTCTCCGAGTGCCCTTCCAAGGAGAACCCAGAGATGGAGGTAGTGGATGAGCTCTGGCGGGCCATGCCAAACATCATCCGCTACTTGAAGCTGAAGGTTTCTTGGGGGATGCAAGGGTGGATGCAATGTAAGGTAGCTGGTAACCTGGTAGCTTTATTCAACTAGCTAACTAGCAGCCAGCTAGCAGCTAGCAATTAGATTCAGTTAGATTGCACTTGCGTTCAAGTAGATCTGATTTTTGAATGGTGTAGAAATGTTGAGTGTAGCGTACAGAGTGTAGTGTTTAGAGATGCTCAGCCCAAGTAGAGTAGAGCAGAGTAGTGATGTAGAGTCCAAACAATGTGTGTCAGAGTAGCTCAGGGCAGGCCAGGCATATGCCCCTATATTTGAGTAATTAGGTTGTACCGTGTTCACGCTATGAACCCCCAATTCCCTAAAGCCCTAACTGTTGCCCTACCGTAACATTTGAATATTGAATATTGCCCATGTATTATGTGCTACAAGGGGAATGTTTAATATATCAGGGGGCACAGGGAAGGTTTTAAGAAAGCGCTAGCCTATAAACAGTTGTGATGGGTCGGCTGTTACCAGAGGGTTCTGGCAAACTTCGGGTAAATGATTTGAAAATGGAGCTGAGCTCAAGCTTCTGCCATACTCTTGTGCGAAGACCCCAACCTAAATCCTGCTCATGTTTAGAGTATATGCCTCACATCCTTGTATCACCTCCCAAATGCGAATCCTTTTCAAACCTATCCGAAGCACTGCGGTCTTGTGGTACTACTTTTGAAAGCTCCCATATTGCCATACGGTGCCCACACCTTCTTGCTTTATTCAGGTCAACGGGTCCATGTATGAGGCGGTGACCAAGGACGAGCATGAGTGTGCTTGCAAGGCCTTGATGTTTGTGCGCAAGGTGCATGAGGCCAACACGCGCGCAAAGTACTTTGGAGCACAGCTGAACGTGTTGAAGCACGGTCTTGAAGCAAGACGGCAGGCGCAGGCTTTGGAGTCCCTGGGAAATGATGCTCAGCGGCGCTCAGCTGTTGATTCAAAGAAGGCAAAGTTGTTCGTGTTTTCGCAGGCCAGGCATGCCCTGCAAAACGCAGTGCATGCTGCCCAGAGGCTGGAGGGCCAGGAGATCGAGGGCGTTTCTGATGCTGACAAGGCCACCTGGGTGCTGGATCACAGCTTTGACAAGATCTTTGTGAAAGACATGCACGGCTTTCACACGGTGTGGAAGGATGTGCAGAACCTTCATTTGGATGAGATGCGCTCTGCAGTTGACAAGGCAGCTGCGCATCTTCGTGAGCACACATCTGACTACGATATGCCGGAGAGCTCATGGAAAAAAAGATTGAGAACCCAGAGGACCTGAAGTGCATCATGAAAGTTGCAGATGCTACGATCGCTCAGCTCAAGGGGGCCGTGGTCACTCGAAGCGTGAATGAGTTGTCCAAGGTTCCTGGTTCATCGAAAAGACTTCTAGTAACTCTAGTATTCTAGTACTGGGTTTGGATGACTAGTGTCTAGTGGCTGGAGGCTTGGCTGGTGATAAGTGAGGTCTATCTGACTCAAGTCGGGGAGTTACATTTTCGCAGAGTTGCAGTAGTTCTGTGTGTAGTGTAGGGCTGCTAGGCCCTGATACGCCAATTTCTGCTAGACTGCTAGGCTACAAGCGAAAGCCACGTTCTAGGAAAGTCTACGTCTTCGTAGTTTCGAGAATCTGTCGTAGTGTTATGTGAGTGGTAAAACACATTGCAGTGTACCCCAGTCCGCTCTTTGCAATTTGCTCTTGCTGTTTCTTAGTAAGTTGAACTGTCTCGCTCAATATGGTGAGTGAGGCTTACTAGCTACTAGCGATGACTTTAAACATGTTGGGGTCACTGGCCAAACTTTGTATTGTTGAATCTGTTTATGTCGCCCTCCAAGTGTGGGCTGCAGATTTTGATTTCAAGATAAGTGTGATTCAGTTTCTATGTTGCCTGCAGAAGTATGTGTGTAGAATCAGTGTAGAAGCTGTACAGCTGCGCAAAGCCTAAGATGGGCCCACATCCAGCTTCTCAATGGGTTTGGGATTACACGTCAGTCAAGCATATGTGCAACCTGTGCCCATGCGCAGTGGAACTGCATGGTAGCTGGGATTTTTAAGTAAGCCTTTTTGCGTTTGCCACAGGCGCAAAATTCCGGATAGCCGGATAGCCGCTGATGATCATGCCCGTTTTGGAATTTTACTTGCAAACGCACGTGGGCTTAGAGATTCTGGCGCCAGGTTTTCAATGTGCTCTGCGCTACGGATACCTTGAACCTGATTATTTGACTGACAAACAGTGACTGACAGCTAGAATTTTCCATCACGCGCATTTTCTGCAGTCCTCTCCAAAAGCTTGGTAATTTACATAGCACTTGTGCTCAAGAAAAAGATTTAGTGATTACTTGCCATGTAGTCCAAATTGCCTTGCTAGGCTGCTACACTGCTAGGCCCAGGTTGTTGCAATTCGCTATGACGCTATCAGGTAAAGGTGGCCTAATAGATGTACTGATTACGTTTGCCTGGTAATCGCTACCCGAACCTGCTCCTGCCTGCAATCGTAGTCGCAGTTTCACTTTATGCTTTTCATCAGGCCATCGCGCGCATGGAGGAAGTGCTTGAGAAGTACACCGCCCTCGACACCTTCACCACAGCCGAGCAGGATGAGGCAGCAACCTTCATCAAATCGGCCACCGATCGCGTCAAGCGTGGCAAGGCGCTTTGTGCTGAGGCCAAGCTCCACCACGGGTTGAGCCAGGGAAAAGAGAAGGGACCTGAGATTGTCCGAAGTGTGCTTTCCCAGGTAGCTGGTAGCCAAGTTTGCAAAGAGCTTGTGTCTGCGTGCATGCTTGAGGCAGCACGTCAGATTATTGGCTGATGGCCAGATCCACCCAGCACAGAGCCTTGCTTGTGCGCACCTACTCGATGCCTGCTGGGTAGTAAGGTGCCAGACTAGAATTGCTAGGCTGCCATAGGTTGATGTAATGAGAATCTACTGAAGCTCGTGGCTCCCGATATGGATTCCCCAGTACTGTAGCAGTAGCAGCAGATCCTGGCCCTGGCTTACCCCAGACTCTAGCTAGCTGCTAGCTGTAACTCTAACTGACTAGCAGCTAGCAACAACAAATCATTTCCATAGGCTTCATGCGCCACTTCCATGGCTGCTTCCGGGCCCAGCCCCAATCAAACTCCCTGAGCAAATCCACAACCCCAAACCCATTTCGCCCCCGCGAAATAAAATGGTTGAAGCCAACCAAGATTGCCGCCGTTCAAGCTTGAGGTGAGGTCCTAGTCACGTCTTGGGTGAGGTCTTTTCATTATACCCCAGCCCTGATGCTTTCCAAGTCTCTGCTACAAGGAGCTGCTGCCCCAGAGGCATTCCAAAAGCATGCTTCCGCGGTGTAGGCTTTAGGGCTTGGGGTTTAGGCTTAAAAGTTTGGGGTTTAGGGCTTCAGAGAGGTTTAGGGTTTAGGGAGTTTAGTGTAGGTTATGGGAGTTAGGCGTTAGGGTTTCGGGAGCTTATATCTTACATTGTATGGGTTGGTTTTAGGGGTAAGCCTTTAATTGCTGCGAAATCCCTCCACATGGTTTATTTCCATGCAATTTGCCAGGGTAATGCCAAGCAGCAGGCATTTTTAAAAAGTGTGCGCAAGCGGCGATCAGCGCGGCCGTGCCGTGCGATGTTGCAGGTCAAGCAGGGCTGTGACCACAGTCCACAAGGCTATTTGCACTGAAGTAGAGCAGCTACAGCTACAGCCATGGCTACGGGGATTTAGTTGCTATTGCTATAGCCAATAGCTCTGATAAGAATTGTTGCTATTACTAAGACACTAAGATTCCTAGATCCTAGATTCTAGATACTGATGCTAACTGTTGGCTGTTAACTGCGAAAGACTATTGCGATTGCTACAGCTGCTACAGCTGCAATGACAATTGCTGTTGGTCCCTGGGGTTACTCTCATGCAACACCGAATTGTACAACTGACAAAGTTGCATCAGTATGGGCTATAGGGATGGGGCTTCAGATCTGGGTGTTTTTGCTACGGACGGGTAGCGGCTAGTGACTAGTGACGCTAGCTAGAATCTGCTGGAAGCTTTTGTTTGTCCAGAAACCAAAGGTTCAGGACTTGGGATGTGTGTTGGGGTTCGTTGAGCGAAAGGAAAGCTTTACCGACCTAGTGACTGAGTGACCCCATTAGTTGAATGCACTCATTTACGGGCATCTCAGCAAAGGTAGAAAAGCAATAGCCTAAAGCAAAGGTAATCCAGTAGCAAGATGAGCGCTGATGGGGTACCCCTTAATGGCGGATAATATTCGTACGCAAAACTGGGAACCTGTAGACGCTAGGGCCGCTATAGAATCTAGAGGGTTGGGCACCACCCGTTACTATGGCTCCAATGTCCTAATCATGGTTGCTAGATGCTAATGCCATCGTATGTGTTGCTTCTGTAGGATTATACGGGTTCACCCCAAACCTCTACCTAGGTCCTATGTCCGACACTGGCCCTGCGTAAGACAGGCCGAATTGCCACCCTTCAGCCCTGAGACTGTAACATCCTTCTAGGACAAGGATAGCCATACAACAGTATGGATTTTGCAATCCTGCACAGAGAATGCCCTGCGGGCAGAGAAGCCGTGAACGCAGGCGCTGCACCGCTGAACCTTTTGCATTCGTCTGCAAGAAACAAGTTTCGGCCTGTGCTATTGTGTGAGGCTGCTAGGTTGGCATTACTACGTACAACCCACTTGGCAAGATTTAATTAGTGCAAACATTGCATATGATCCCCAGCTGTACTGTGCTACTACAATCGTTTCTATTGGCACACTCATTACGGGGTACTAAACCGAGATATGGCTTTCCAGGTAGCTTGTAACTATGCCACAAGGTCTTTTTATGGGATCCCAGTCCTAGTAGGGTCCTAGGGAGGCTTTGAGCCACCTGTGTCATGGTAACTTCTGATTGTATATGCACATGAGCTTGCTTAAGTGTTAGGCTGGTTCTTGATTTCATTCATAGTTCTTGGGAAAGGGCAACAAACAGGATTATTCATGTGCTGCATATGGGCA